ATTTTAGATGCAAGTTGATTTAGCATCTGGGGGTGGGAGAGGAAACAGGGGGAAGGTCAGGCACGACCCAAAAGCAGAACAAAAACTAAATGTATAAGAGAAAAAAAAAAAGAAACACAGGACAGTTGTACACCGCCTGGTGACCATGAGCTGTACATGGAAATTAAATGTCTAGTTCTTTGCTAAAGGTGGAAGACAGAAGCATATTTGGGTTTGCAAATCCGTGAAAAAAGGCATATTAGCCTTTGGGTTTTAGCTAAGAAAGGGCTTAAAGAAGCAAACAAGTTATCCTAGGATCCCAAGTCACTCCCCAGACTATCATCAAATACAAACACGAGAAAGTGAGGTCATAGGCCTCCCAGAATGAAAGTGGACAGTTCTGGGAAGTCACCCATGGGGTGGCTGCTGACCCAATGGACGAACGCATGGGAACATGGGGGAATAAAAGAACAATAATTGCCCTGGTTACTTGTCTGTAGAAATAAATGAGTTTCTAATGTCTTTTTTACCTTCTCCTTTCTCTATCCATATCTCTACAAGAACTGGCTCTTTAAATAAGGGACAGCAGATCCATCCCATCATGGCTCTGTGAATCGGTTGGAATCATAGCAGCCGTGATGTCCACTGCTCCAGGCAAACCTCTCTCTGTTTTCTGTTTGTTAAGAAGGGGCAAGCCCACCTGGAGTAAGAAAGAGTCATTGTCAACAAACAGCAAGTAGGAGTCCATTTTATTGGCTCAAGCCAATCAGTTATATAAGTAAAATGGAAACCACTGTTTTGAAATAGACAAATTAGATTTTTAGATGAAGAAGTGCCTTACAGATAAGCTAGTCCAACTCCATCATTTGACAGATGGGGACATTAAGACACAGAAGGACGTTCCCAGTGATGCACGAGTTGATGGCAAAGCTAGAACAAGAATTCAAGTCACTGCTTTCCTTAGGAGATTTGGAAAACATTCAGATAGACCGTAAGGGATTCAGATGCATGCAGCTATGGTCAAGTTGGAGGAACTAGAGATTTTTTAAACCTGGGAAGGTTATGATTCAGAGACATCTTAACTACTGTCAAGTGGCAAAGTACCAGCAATAAAGGCTTGAACTTATTCTGTTGGCCTGAGGAAAGGAGGAGCATTGGAGGAAAGTCAGAGGGAAGACTTCAGTGCTTTGGTAGTTTAGGTTTTAAACAGTCAAAATTTGCCAAGACAATTTGTTGGGGGACAGTAAATTTTCTGTCACCTGAAGCATTTCAGAATAGACTGGGAGGTAATGTAGTGTCTATGTTTTGTCTATGGAAAGGGGTGGGGCAAGGGGTATGGAGGGAAGAATTCAGGCATGAAAATCATTTGGATGGGGTGACCTTTAAGAGCCTGTGATTCTTTACAACCTGGTACCAAATAAGGGTTTCATTCTTCCTTTGAATTCTAAAACCTATCTTCCCATCTGTTTGCAATAGTTTAAATTTTAATCTATTTCATATTTCAGGGTATTATGCCCTGAATATTTGATTTGAATGCTGTGGCAGAAGGTCACTCATATTCATTTATTTTCTTTTACTCTTATACACTTGCAGTGAGTCTTTTGAATCCATTATGCAAACATATGCAAATAGTATGCAAATAGCATGGCCTCAGAAAATGACAAAATCCTATGGCCTTAACTGAGCCATCAAATCTTTCTTTAAAAAAGAAAAGTAATACACCTTTTCCACATCTCTGGGCAGGAGACAACTTCCTGATAGTGATATTTACATGACATTGGAATTGGTTAATCAGAGGAGTAACACATTCCTTGTATTACATAGGAGTTAAAGTTTAAGAAAGCATTTTCACAGCTATGATCCCATTTGATCCTCGTAATTACTCTGTGAGGGCAGAACAGGAATTGGAATTGCTGTTCTATTTTTTAGATGGGAAACAGACACAGACAAGTGACATGACTTGCCCAAGTTCACTTGGTTGGTCATCAGCGGACTTGAGTCCGAAAACTATGCTCCTTCAAAACCAGAGCTCTTGCCATGCACCAAGATACATGCCTTTAAGGCAAGGTGGGCTGTCATCCCGTTTGCTTGCACTGTGTCTTCCCAAAAGCATCTTCGGAGCCTCTTCTGTCGATGAGAATGGCATCTGAGGGCTGAGATGAGAACAGCCTAAATATTTGTAGTAGCCCTCGCACGGTGCCTAGGCCACAGTTTCTCCAACCCCCTCTGCTTTTTCTTGTCTGGTCTGACATCTCCGACTTTCCAGATGAAGCACTGTCTTCATCCCAACCATTCTTCACTCTTTCAGGAAGCAAAATTCTTCCTTAAATTACAGAGTGTAAGAGCACAGTCTCCACCGAGAGACCGTAGGTCTCAAGCCGTCGTCCTCCATTTCCTAGTTACGTGGCCTTGGAGAGGTCATTTAATTTCTCCAAGCATGAGTTTTTACATCTATAAAGAGGGAGAAATAACAGCACCTCTATGGTAGGACATGGGATAAAGATATAAACTCAAACAAAACAGCACCCTGCCTGGAGTCTGATATAGAACAGGGGCTCAATAAATAGCAGCTCCTGTGATTCTTAACGAACAGTTGTGATGAAGTAGTGGAAGCAGCTTCTCAAGTCATTCTGAGCTCTGCTGCGGAGAACCGGGCTCTGGGAAATGGACTGGGAGAACCGTAACGCCAAGCTGCCCCTCTGATGTCTGGAGGGAGCTCAATTCAGCCCAGTGAGGAATGGCTGAACTTTGACTTTCTTTAATCACTCCCCCATCTTGTGCCATGATGAGGGCAACTGCAATCCTGCTTGAAGCTATTTCTAAGAAGAGGTAGAGCCAAGGCTGACTTCCTTAATCCTGCTCTCCCCGCCGGACTGCCCCATATACAGCAGGGTTCCCTACTTCCCCAGATTGGAAGGGAAAAAAGGGGGGATTCCATTCTACCTGAGCTGCTGTATTCAGCCTGAATCACAGGGTCAAAGGATGGATGTGTCATCCTCTTGTACCGAGACCAGAAGCAGGAGCAACCAGGAGCCTAGGCAGTAGTGGAGAGGGGCCTTGTTCCCTCCTGCTCCAGTGCCCACCTCCAGCAGGCCCGGCCTCAGAACCTGGTCCTTCCCTCTGACCCCCTGGCATGCCGCAGCGCCTCTCCATGGCGCTCACCTAGGACAGCTAATGAAACGGCTTCCTTTGTGAGGCCAGCTTCCTGCTTCTATGGCCTCTCTTGTGGAAAGGGACCAGAAGCTATTGGAGTTAGCCAAACTGTTGAAGCTGGCCTAAGTCAATAAAAACCATCACACCGAGAGTCCGGGTGACATGCGCCAGAGGGGTGTTCAACTGATTCATGCTTGCCAGGAAATGCCCTGGACCATTCTGGGGCTGGGTTCTCAGCTATTTTTGGCAAGGATTGGTAGTATGCAAAAGGAACTTCCTCTTTCTTTTCTTTTTTTTCTTTTTTTTTTTTTTTTAGCACAGACCTAGCAAAAACTGAGCAATCAACAGCATTTCTTGTTCCCATATCACCCTTCTGAGCATCTCCCTGCCTGCCGAAATACTGAGGCCACTATACTTGGATATCATTTCTCCACACAAGGCCCTGGATAAGCCCACCAAGCTGGGGTGGAGTCATTCCAATGATGGCTCCCCGTGCCAGCTGCTTCCTATTGGCAGTGGTGTTTTCTGCGAGCTGTAAAGCCATGACCTCCTTGAATCAGACGTGCACTGAGGTGAGTCTGAACTGTGTGTCTTTATCTAGATTAAACTGCCTGGAAATTGTGAGATTTGACAGTCCTATCTGAGCCTTAGCCTCTCAATATCCACTGTCTTTAAAAGGGTGACACAGGGGGCCTGGGTGGCTCAGTGGATTAAACCGCTGCCTTTGGCTCAGGTCATGGTCTCGGGGTCCTGGGACCGAGCCCCGCATCACGCTCTCTGCTCGGCAGGCAGCCTGCTTCCCACCCCTTTGCCTGCCTCTCTGCCTACTTGTGATCTCTGTCTGTCAAATAAATAAATAAAATCTTTTTAAAAAAAGGGGGGGTGACATGGCGGGTAGTGGTTTTTCTTTAGAGTGAAGGAGACATAGAGCTCTGCAAGGGGATGAACTGGGAGCTTCTCCACTGGAAGAAGTGAGGGTTTTCCTCCTCTGCAAACATTTCCCTCAAAAGGATCCCAACTGGTACATAAGATACCAACAGGGGCTCAGGGCAAAGGGCAGCCCTCCAAACGTGCATCCAGCTTGGAGGTGCTGTTTGTCTAACATCCTAGCATACGGTCACTGCCACAAACCTCTTTCTGGTGTCCAGGAGATTAGTGAAGATGGCCTGTGCCAGGTTTTAGAGCATATAAAGATCACTCTGAATGAGTCTTTCTCCTCGAATCGGACAGCCCTCCATCTGTTTTGTTAACCCACAGGAGTAATACTGGAGAATAGAGCCAGATTGTATCTTCTGTTTTGCCCCATAACAATATTTACCAACTTGTGGGAAGTTCTTGGAGAAGGTGGTGAGAGACATAAAGGAGAAGGGCCTGTCTCTTGCCAACTTCTAAAGTGCTTCAACCTCTCTCCTGCTGAGAAACTTCTCATGATTCTGGAGACCAGAAGTCTAAGATTCAGGTGCTGGCAGGGTTACTTTCTCCTGAGACCTCTCTCATGAGCCTGTAGACAGACACCTTCTCCCTGTGTCTCCACATCGTCTGGCCTTTGATGTATCCATGTCCTGCTGTATTCTTCTCCTAAGGATGCAAGTCATATTGTATTAGGGCCTATCCTAATGATTTCATTTTAACTAAATTACTTCTTTAAAGACTCTCTTTCCAAATAAAGTCACATTCTGAGGTACTTGGGTTAAGACAACAGAATGTGGGGGCAACACAAATCAGCCCACAAAAGAAGGGGTCAAGGAAGAGGTTTTTATCAACCCCAGAAGACTACCTCCTCATCATTCAAGTTGGAAGGCCAATTACACACAGGCACATAGAGGACATGATAAGAGGGTCGGAGTGGGGACACCACCTCCTCAGTGACAACATCCTCAGGTAGGACAGTATCACAATCAAATTCAAGCTCATCATGAAGCAAGCTATCTTAAATATCCCCCTCTTAAGCCTACCAGCTCAACTCTTAAATCCCTGAATGGCTGCAAAGCCCATGCAGCCCTCCAGGGACCCGGAAGGGAGCCCTGGGAGATTCTGGAAAGCCTGTGGAAATACTGTACCACTCTCACTTCCTACTGAGGACACTAGGTTCCAGAGTTGTCAGCTCCTTTTTGCAACTGGCCCCAGCTTTGGCAGAGGAGAGGAGAGAGCAGCCGGGAGAACTCCTAGGCCTTGTGTTACCTATTCCATGGGCCCCCTGACACTCAGGTGTCACAAGTGATGCTGAGGGTCTCAGGATCTCTGGGCCTGGTCCTATGCTGCAGCAAGAGCTTTAGCTTTTGATTAAGTCAGGTGAGGCTGAAACCTTTTGATACAACAACCTCCCTGCATCTCTCCCTCCAAAAGGACCAATTTTCCATGCTTTAGAACCAATGCAATTAACACTGGATCTATACCTTCCTTTATATTCTCTATCACAAATGAGTTCTTGGTAAGAGGATTGGCAGGCTGTTTCCTGAGCTGTCACTCTATGAGACTACTGGCAAGTTGCCGGGATACAAAGATGAATGAGGGTTTGGTCCCATGGTAAGGAACTTCTGGACCACTGGCAAGTGGAATAAAAGTGGGAGTGGTGGGAGAGGAAGCTTTGGGTTGAAGGGTTTGGTTTTTTCCAAGTGCAGGTCACCCAATTTGCCCTGCCCTCCCCCTCACCTTACTTTCCTCTTTTGTTCTCCCCTCCAGTTTAAGCAGAATTAACCACGTCCTGTATATGTGCTCCTGTGGTGGCCATTAGCTCATCAGGCCCTAATCTGAAAACAAGGCTTTCGTTTTGCTTTCAGTTTAATAAACCTCTTATTGAAGTAAAACATACATGCAGAAGGTTCCCCAGTCCTAAGTGTACAGCTCCCTGAGTTTTCACCCAAGAGAGCACATCCATGTGACCAACACATGGATCAAGAAACACACATTCTCTGAAGCCCCTTCATGACTCTTTCCAGTCAGCAGCCCCCAGGGGCATCTAGTACTCTAACTTCTATGACCAAAAAATGATTTTGCCTCTTCATGAATTTTATATACAGGAGACTACATGGTATGTACTCTTTGGTGCCTGGCTTCTTTTGTTCAGCATTAAACATGTGACATTTACCAAAGATGCTGCATAGAGCAATCATTTGGTTTTTTAATCACATACTGTATATTTTGTATTAGTGTATTGTGGTATTCTCTTGTATTAGAGAACCACTATCTATTTATTCATTCAGCTGTTAATGGCCATTTGCCTTGTTTTAGATTTCTTGGCTATTGTAAATCCTGCTGCCTTGGACATTTATATCTATGTCTCTAGAAAACAGATGGGCAAATCTTGATTAGGTGTATACCTGGGTGGGGATGTATTTAGTCATAGGGTATACATGTATTTAATTTCAGTAGATATTGCCAAAAGGTTTTCCAAAGGGTTAGTACCCATATATACTCACTGGCAATGTGTATGAGTTCTGATTGCTCTGTATCCCAGGAGCCTCACTATTGTTTAAGAATGTTTACCATTCTGATGGATGGTGAGTAGTGTATTTACTAGGATTTAATTTTTATTTTCCTGATGATTAAAGTCAGTACATTTTCAACTTCATTGGCCATTGACAAATCCTTAAGTGTGTGTGTATATGTGTTTGTGGGTGAGAGAGAGTGGGGGGGGGAGTGCTTCTTCTAGTCTTTTGCCCATTTTCCCTTGGGTTATTGGTCTTTCTTAAATTGATTTGTTAGGGCACTTTAAGTATTGTGGATATAAGTCCTTCATCAGATTGCAAATATCCTCTCCCACTCCATGGCTTGCCTTTCCACTTTCCTAGTGATATCTTCTGATGAACAGAAGTTCTCAATTTCGATGTAGGTTAATTTATTATTGTTCCTTTATTTTCAGTGCATTTCTGTCCTGTTTAAGAAATTTCTGCCTACCCCAAGGCCATAAAGATATATCCTATGTTTTCTAGAAGTATGCCTTGTATTTATTTCTGTTGCTTCGTTTCATTTTTACATCTATGGCCCACACTGAATTAAAATATTTCAAATATTGTATTTCAATATTTCAAACCTAGATAAGTTCTAAAAATATAATGAATATCCATAAACACTTCATGTGGAATCTTCCATTGTTATATTCTACATGTTCTGTGTGTGTGTGTATGTGTGTGTGTGCATACATCATAAGTAACAAAATTAGAGCCATAACCAGGTATTTGGAGGCTGACAAATGTGCAAAGCATAACTAGAATAAGTGTTCTGTGATCTGAATTCTGATAACACTTTAGATGAACTCTTGAATAATTACTTTGAAGCGTAGACACGCCTCTTCATTTCAAATGAACTCATCTTGGCTACCCTGTCCCCTCAAAACTATGGTAGAAAGCAGTCCTTCCATCCTAGGGAGGGGTGGAGAGTGCTTAGTAGAACTTCTTTTTAGGAGAACTCCAAGTTCACAAGTTCGCACATACAAAGGCTTCTGAAGAGTTGTCAACAATAACATGATGTTGTGATGATCCAGTGAAAGGAACTCCTCTTGTGAGTGCCCAGCCTACATTATCTCATTAACCCTTAGGGCTGGCCTGCAAACAAGGTTGTCCCCCATCTCTATCTGGGGAAAAAGAAGGCTCAGAGAACATAGTTTAGTGGTTGAGAGCTGGAATTTGTCTGCCAGACAAATAGAAAATGAACTGCATATAATTGGGATGCCCTTTGCCTGGAGGTGTCAGGTAGACAACCAAGTTTTAGGACTCTGCCCTCCTGGGAATATTTTGTTTTATTTTTAGAGAGCAACTGTTACCCTGGTATTTGATGCAGGCACACTGCTATCTCTGGGTAGAGGAGTAAAAAATGGAGGGAAGGTCAGTGTTCGGCATCCCAGACTCCTCATGCAGAGGGAAGCTGGCCACTGTGTGTGCCGAATGTAGACAAGACATTCATTGGAAAGGTGGGAGTTGGCACCTGGGAAACTCAAAGGGTTCAAAATCAGAATATTTCAACACTTTCGACAAGAGAAAATACAGTAGGATAGCAGGAAGTTAGAGCTACAGCAGAAGGCAGCAAAATAAGATCTTGATTGAAAAAATGCAAATGAATACCTGGGAGAGAAAGGGATGGCATACACCGATGCAGCCCTTGGAAGTCCTGTTCTGTGGAAAAGGCACAACTCCAACAGGACACTAGAGACGGAGTGGGTGGTGCAGGTCCCAGTGCACATGGGGTCCTGAGTAAATGTCCCATGTCTGGGCAGCGGGGGAGGCCTGGGACAGCAGCTGTTAAGGCCCCACAGCCTTGCACAGCCCTGCCGGCGGCAGGAATTCCCAGCAACAAGCGACCCATCTGCTATGGAACCAGCCAAAGCAGGAGTGAGGAGGTCATTTGCCACAGTGACCTCGCACTGAGGGCTAGAGAAGGAGAGCTGCTTTCATAAGAAGTGCTCACAGGGAACTCAGAGGAACAAGAGGGGCTGCTCGAACAATGAGGTGTCTGCCTGGAGAAGCACTGAGCATGTGTCCCTGACGGCCAGCCCCACCCAGGGGCAGAAGGGCCGTGGCCCCACCGTATTCCCTTTCTGCCTCCTGCTCCTTACCTCTCTCTTGCATTGTCCTTCTACAGTCCCGGAATCCTGCACTCTGCTAATCACACTCTCACAAAGTTTCGATATGGATCCTGACAGCGAAAAAGACGCAACCTCATTCACATAGTATTTCTACCAAAAATGTATAACCCGAATCAAATCAGGAGGAAAGATACGACCCCAAGCGAGGGACATTCTGTAAGATATGAGACTGTGTTCAGTTATAAATAAAATAAGGTGAAATAAAAATAAAATAAAATAAAAATATATATCTCAATGCTATGAGAGACAACAAAAATCTAAGGAATTTTCTCAGACCAAAGGAGCCTAAAGAGCCATGAAAACTAAATGCAATGTGTGAACTTGGATTAGAAAAACAAAATTACTATGAAGAACAATATTAGGACAATTGCCAAAATGTGAATACAAACTCTATGTTGGACAATAATATTGTATCGACGTTCAATAGTCTGAATTTGGTAATGGTACCGTGGTTACAGAAGAGACGTCCTTGTTTTTTGTTTTGTTTTGTTTTGTTTTGTTTTTTTCCTAAAGATTTTATTTATTTATTTGACAGAGATCACAAGTAGACAGAGAGGCAGTCACAGAGAGAGAGGGCTCGATCCCAGGGCTCTGGGATCATGACCTGAGCTGAAGGCAGAGACTTTAACCCACTGAGCCACCCAGGCACCCCAGAGACGTCCTTGTTCTCAGGAAATTTAGGGGTAAAGGGACATGACATCTGCAATTTACTATCAACAAAAAAGAGAATGAGAAGAGTAAGTGTGTGTGTGTGTGTGTGTGTGTGTGTGTATACTCCTGCCTTAAAAAATACAACAGACCAGAGCACCAGGCTTGCTCAGTCGGTAAAGCCCACGACTCGTGACCTTGGGGTTGTGAGTTTGAGTTTGAGTCCCACTGTGGCTATAGAGACTACTTAAAAATAAAATCTTTATAAAAAATATATGATAGACTGCAAACGATTTAACACTGCTTGAGTGACTGCAGAGCACAGGGCGCTCCGAGCCACCATCCATATAGTAACTGTGATCACACAGGAGTGTGAATATAAAAACCAAAGGGGGAGGGGATGAGTGTGTGTATGTAGCTTAGGACATTTTCCAAAATGTACTTGTTTTTTAAGTTCTCTTACAAGCTGCGATTCTTGTTATTTGCCTCTTTCTCCCAGGAATCAAGGGCAGAGAGTTCATGGTGGCTCATACCTAACTAGGGATGAATGTCTGACACAGACAGGCTCATGCCAGGTTTCTCAATACTCTGTGGTGTGTCATCCACTGGTTCTAAGTTTTTCATTGGGCTGAAACTGAGCTTTTTCATTTATCTGCCTTTGAATTTGCTAGAAGCTCCCTCAGGCCACTGGCTCAGTAGAGCTCCCGCTGGATCCTCAACTTTTTGAATGATATTATTGCAGTTAAGTGCTCAGCAAAGCACAGAAGTGGACTGATTTAGGTGTCATGGGCCCTTATATATTCAGGAGAAGGAGGGACACACCAGCATGGCACCTTTTGCTGAAGGAACAGACGAATCGAGGAATGGAGTCCCTTTCTTTAAGTGTTATGTGACATCAGTTATGCCAGTGGAGACCAGAAAAGCTATTCCAAACCTTAGCAGCTACTGGGTCTAGCAACCTGTATTCTTCCCACCACTCCAATAAATCTAAGTTTTAAATGCAAAATGTGCATTTCAAGGACATTAGGTGGATCTATGGCAGTCCCTAGAGGACTTTGGGTCTCTAAAATGGGTCTGAAGAATGAATTGCAAGGAAATAGAAATACCAGCATTTTCATCAGTGTCATTTATAACATTATCACTACATAGAAGAAAACTGGTGATTTCCTGTAGATGAGCATGGTCACTCTACATACAAAAATGAGCACCACTACACAGAAGCTAGAATTGAGCAGAAAGCAATGAAAATAGTGACATCTCTACAACATCAGGCTTCACAGTGAAGGAGAATGTGCTCAGTTTTCTGTTTCCAGTAAAGGGGGGCTGTTTGCAAGTCGGTTTGAGGACAGCTGAGGAGCTACAGTCTGCTGGGGCAGGTGCTGTCCAGACTGGGGCAGTCTCAGTGGGGTCTCTGGTAGGACCACTGTGTGGTGAGGGCAAAAGCAGGTGTGAAAGAGTGGATGAAACTGCATGCAGTCTGACATCAGATGAGAGGTGACCCCCCCCCCGCCCTGGTACACTTTTTTGCAAATCATTTCTTTCCTTCCTGGGAGCCTCCTCATGCAAAATATACCCCATCATAGCTTTGTCCTACCCCACATCCCTTCATTCTAAGGCATCATCCTGATAAATTATGACCAACCCCTTCCCACTTTTCACTTAGTTGTTACAAGATTTGTGAGGCAGGGCATCTAACAAGCAGCGATTAACAGAATTCAAAATACTTGGCTCCCATGGAACTAGGATGAGGCAATCCTCTGAACTTACATGCATGGCTATTCCCCAATGCTGGGGTCTGGTATCAGTAGCTTGTGGTTCCAAAGATCCAGAACTGAGTCATGCTTCAAAGTTGCATAGTCTCATGACCTACAGGCTATGACACCCTGCTAGTTTGTTTAAATTGTGTCTTAAGAAAAAAAAAATTCGATGTAGTGTTCAATGATTCATTAGTTTCATATAACACCCAGTGCTCATCACATCACGTGTCCTCCTTAAATATTAAGAAAATTTCTAAGCAGATACAGAAGTCGTTAGTTACAAAGAACGTCCGTGAATATATATCTACATTCAACAATCATCAATATTTTGCCTATTGATTTCACCTAACCATTCCTCCCTTCCTTTTTCCCCTGAGTATTCTAAAGGAAATTCCCAACATCCAGTCATTTTATCCAGAAATACTTCAAAAGGCTTCTCTAAAGAATACAAACATTGCACTTATAATCAACAAAATTCACAATTCCTTAAGATCTTCTAATATCCTATCCTCAAGGTTTTCTTGATAGTCCATAAAATGTCTTTTCCTAATGCTTTATTTGAATCAGAAAAGGTAGCATAAAATATGCAACATACTACATACCATATACCATGTACTACGTACCATGTATGAGCATTCTGTACCTGGCTTTTTACACCTGACAGCATACCTGGATATCACTCCATGTCAGCATGTGGGGGTTTGCCTCATCCTGTCTTCATCTGCAGAAGGTTCCATCTTGTGAATGTGCTGTATTTCATTCAACAAGTCCTGTATTGATGAATAAGCTGGTTATTGCCCATCTTTTGGTATCACAAAAATTACAAAAATGACTACAGCAAATAATCTTTTGCATGAGCCACTTTGTGTCTTTGCAGGTATCTATTTGGTAAAGATCACTAGAAATGAGATTGCTGCTCAAAGGATAAGTGTAATTTTGCTAGTCGATCAAATTACCAACTCTGTTAGGAATTTACATTGTTTCTCTCATCAGAAAGAAGCCAACAACACATATAACTGTGAAAATTTAGGTCTCACGGGAGTTCCTGACACTCTACCAAATACAACAGAATTTTTGGAATTTGGCTTTAATTTCTTACCTACACTTGAAAATACAACTTTCAGCAGACTTGTAGATCTGATCTTCTTGGACTTAACCAGGTATGTATCTGAGTTCCTCGTCTGTAGTTGATGTTTTACTTATGTAATAACACAACTTGCATTCAAATTGTTTCCAGGATCTTCTTTTGGGAGCCCAGGGACACTCTATCTATCCTTCATGTTTACTCTTTCCCATGAAATGTTTTTATGCAGGTGAAATGTAATATTTTTAAAAACCCAGTCAGTAGAGAGAAAAGTGGATTATTTTCAAACTAGATTGCATCAGCAATGTTAAGAAGTTCTAAGGAATACTGATAACAAGAAAAACTGAAAACAAATCTTGTATTAAATCAGATACCATAGTTTATATTGGGTGATGACATTTTAAGAAAAATTTACAGGAGAAACACATAAGCTACTAACTTTTCCCCCCTCTAGATTGAGAAAAGAGTTCCATTATTTAATTTTAGAAGCAGAATCAGGATTCCAAATGCTGAATCAGTGCTTGTGAGCCAGTGAGCAGAAGTTTCACAAGAAAAAAAGGGAAGAAACCAGAAGGGAAATGCAGCATGCACGGGTACGCGTGTCCATGCCTGTGTGTGTTTGTGTATGCATGTGTCTGTGTGTGTGTGTAAGATGGGAAAGGGCTTTCCATGTGGATGGGGTCTACTCCGCTTGCAGCAGCTCTGTTTCTTTGGTGTCTCAACCTGAGCCTCTCCAGAGTGGCAGAGCCTTCACATCCCCAAGACTATTTCAACTTTATAACCGCCCCTGGGAGTAGGCATGCTGAATATTACTTAACTCATGTTCAATGAGGAAATGGAGGCTTAGGGAGACTCTGTGAGTTTGCTTAGGGTCACAGAGTAAGGGAACTAGGACTCTGCTCTCCTGACGCCCAGTCCAGATTCCCCCAGAAAACCCCAAGCCACCTCCACGGCCAAGATTCCACCAGCTGCCTTGCAATATGCCAATGAGACAAAGCCTTGCCTTTTCAGACAGGGACAGAGATCATTCTACTTCCTACCCTTTGTGCCCTTGAGATATTTACTTTCCCTCTACCTTACCATTTCTCACTTTTAGATGAAATGAGTTTGACCACATTTCTAAGGAATGCATGGGGCCAGGATAGCTTGTCCAGCTAGAACACTCTAGGTTTCCTCTTCTGTTATTTTCAAATGGTGATACAGATAGGACCTCATACTTTCTAAACTCGCTCTCCTTAGCTCTCCCAGCCCCTGCCTCTTACGGGGCCACCAGTCAGACACTATTTTTTATTACTTTAAATAGCCACTGTTTTTTTGTTTTGTTTTATTTTAGCTCTATCAATATGTTTTTTTGTTTTTTTCTTTGCTCACTCTTCCATCTCACTTTTCGGACTTTCTCTTGGAACAATTTCCCTTTTTTCCTGAGGTACATAACAATTTCTTTAGTGAAAGTCTGTTAGTAGTCAACTCACTTGGTTTTTGTTTTTCCAAAAATGTCTTTATTTCACTCTGATTCTTGAGAGACAGTATCTCCTGACAAGATTCCAAGTTGGTAGTTATTTTTCTCAGCCCGTTGGTGCTGCCGTTCCATTCTCCCCTGGTTGCTGCTAGATAGTTACCTGTCTGTGTAATCACCGTACACATGCAGGCAATCTGTCCTCTCTCAGTGTTTCCAGTAGTTTCTCTTCGTCTTCGGCACTCTGTAATATCAGTGTTACACTGCGTAAATCATTGGGCTTCTTGAATCTGCAAAGGGTGTCTTTCATCAATTCTAAAATATTCTGGCTGTTATTTGTTTGAAACTTGGCCTGCTCCCATTCACTCTTTCATCTTCTCTGGATCTCTGATTTGATTCATACTGCATCTTCTCATTCACCCTTCATATATGTCAATATGCCCTTCTTGTTTTCCACCTCTTTGGTGTTTTGGACTATATTCTAGGTAATTTTCTCACATCTACTTTTAGTCCATTAGTATCCTCCTCAGCTTTGTCTAATCTCTTGGGTAAACTGTCCTTGGTTTTTCAATTTCATTAACTTCCTACTTCAGTAAATTTCAATGACTTCATTTTATAAATATATCAGTTTTAATAAGTTTTTCCTTCATCATATTATTGGCTTACACTGTTTCCTTTAAACATATCAAACACATGTTTGATAGAAATATATGTATTATATATTCTGATAATATATATCAGGCATATCACATATTCTTTATAAATCATATATATATATTATCAGATGTACCTCTTAATTCTAGTAAAATTCTGTTTGTTTTAACCTGATTCTGTAGAACATTTTTTAAAAGGATTTATTTATTTGCTTAAGAGAGAGAGCATGAGCAGGAGGAACGGAAGGAGAGGGAGAGAAAACCTCAAGCAGAGTCATGCTGAGCACAGAACCTAACACAGGGACTCTATGCCATGATCCTGAGGTCACAATCTGAGCTGAAACCAAGTGTCTAATGTTTAACCGACTGCACCACGCAGGCCCCTCTGTAGAACATTTTTTTTTTAACTGACTTTGACTAACTAATTCCCTTATGTCTTCAGTGAAATGTTACTTTGAGCTCATTTGTCATTTGAAACTTGATGCAAATCATTGTTTAAAATACTTTCCTGGAATTACACAATGGCATTATGGCTATAGAAAATAAGCCTATATTTTTTGGAGATGCATAATAAAATATGTACAGGATATCTAGGCTCTGATTTAAAATAATTCAGGAGGGAGAGGTGGAAACAGAAGAAGCAAAGACATGTATGTGGCCAAATCTCAAGAACCGTTGCCGCTGTGTGATAGATGTATGAAAGTTTATTGTACTATGATCTTGACTTTTATGTAAATTTGAAGGTTTTCCATATTAAAAATTAATTAAGTAGGTATATTACTCCCAAAGAAATTTCTGTTTACTTCTGTCAATTACCTGAAGTCACTATCATCCTGGAGTCGCTTGAAACTCAATTTTCTACACGAGCTTCTTTTGGGTGGTTCACAGAGCATCAACTCAGGCCACAATCCTCAGGAGTGGAAGCTTATAGTTTGAGAATCTCAGAAGAGACTTCTCTCATTATTGTTGTTCCATCCAGAGTTATGGCCAAGAAAAACACATATCCTCGAGATCACCCTCTATGAACTTTTTTTTTCAAGGTCATCCACTGAAAGAATCCTTTTTGAGGGTCTTGGTGGTTTATAGGTTTTTGATAGAACCTCCTACCCTGCTTGGACCCCAGTCTTTGTCTCCTGCCAGGGTGCATGTGGCTTATCACAACTCGGGCTCTAGGCCACCAAGAACTGGCAGACATTGTCAGATATAACAAAGCTAGCTCCAGGGCTCACTTGCTTCTAGGGATTCCAACTTTTTCTAAGGAAATTAGAATTCTAAGGAATTTCCTTCTTGATCTCCAGGGGAGTTGTGTGTATGTATGTGTGTGTGTGTGTGTATGTGTGTGTATGCACGTACATGCCTACACCTATGTGTGCATGCATAATCCAGTATTTTCAGGTGCAACACCAGGATGAAAACTTTACTGTTCCATATTTCTATGGAGCATTTTCATATGTATCATGTGACTAACAACTGTTCCTCAAAGTACTCACCATTTCTATACTTTATAGATACAACAAAAGAGGTTGAGATAAGTTGTGATTTGCCTAGAATGAGATACATATACTACATAATCATGTTTTATATTATATATTATATATAACATACTGTATATTACTTAAAATAGTAAATAGTTGGCTTTTGCTTACAATCAAACCATTAACTGTTCCCTAGAGTCCAAACACAAACCTCGAAGAGTTCAATCCAAAGGGGCAAGATATCTGGAAAAAAAATTCTAAATCAGAGTTTTCAGAATTGAGGTTGCCATTAATTCCACAGGTGATCTGTTGATACTTAAGAAAGTTTTTTTTTGTTTTATTTTAAGTAACAACATATAGTGTTTTTACTAAACACAAAAGATGGTCCTGTTAATATAGGTCACTGTGACAGAGTTTTTCTTTTTTCCAATTAATTATTGTTAAATACTATTACCTTTTCAAGGTGCCAGATTAACTGGGTACATGAAGATACTTTTCAAAACCATCATCAATTGAACACAATTGTGCTGACTGGAAATCCTCTGATATTCATGGCAGAAACCTCTCTTAACGGGCCCACATCACTGCAGCATCTTTTCCTAATCCAAACAGGAATATCCAATCTCGAGTTTATCCCAAGTCAGAATCTGGAAAACTTAGAAAGCTTGTATCTTGGAAGCAACCATATTTCCTCCATTAAGTTCCCAGAAAACTTCCCAACACAGAATCTGAAAGTTCTGGATTTTCAGAATAATGCTATACACTACCTCTCTAGTGAAGACTTGCGTGCTCTGGAGAAGACCACCAACCTAAGCCTTAATTTCAATGGCAATGACATTAAAGGCATTGAGGCTGGAGCTTTCCGTTCAAAAATCTTCCAAAGTCTGAATTTTGGAGGGACTCTTAACTTGTCTGTGGTATTAAAAGGTCTACAGAACTCTACTACTCAGTCTCTCTGGCTGGGGTCATATGAGGACACAGATGACGAAGACCTTACTTCAGCCATGTTTGACGGACTTTGTGAAATGTCTGTTGAAAGCATCAATCTGCAGAAGCAATATATCTCTGATATCTCATCTGCTACATTTCGGTGCTTCACTCAACTCCAGGAATTGGATCTGACAGCAAATCATTTAAATGAGCTCCCCTCTGGGATCGAGGGGATGAAGGCTCTCAAGAAATTAGTTCTCAATGTAAACACATTTGACCAATTGTGTCAAATCAGTGCTGCCAGTTTTCCATCCCTTCTAGACCTCTCTATCAAAGGCAACAAGAGGAAACTTGACCTTGGTGCCGGCTGTTTGGAAAAACTAGAAAATCTTCAGAAACTTGATTTAAGCCACAGTGATATAGAGGCTTCTGACTGCTGCAATCTTCAACTCAAAAACCTTTCCCACTTACAGTACCTAAACCTGAGCTACAATGAGCCTCTCGGACTCCAGAGTCAGGCGTTCAAAGAATGTCCTCGGCTAGAAGGTCTAGATTTGGCATTTACCCGCTGGTATGTTAAGGGTCCACAAAGTCCTTTCCAAAACCTCCATATCCTACAGGTACTGAATCTTTCTCACTGTCTCCTGGATACCAGCAATCAGCATCTTCTAACAGGTCTGGTGGACCTCCGCCATCTAAATTTACAGGGGAATCACTTTCAAGATGGGAGTATCTCAAAGACCAACTTACTTCAGACCTTGAGGAGCTTGGAGATTCTTATTTTATCCTCCTGTGACCTCCTCTCCATAGACAAGCAAGCATTCCAGAGCCTTGGGAAATTGAGTCACGTTGACTTAAGCTACAACAACCTGATGGGCAATAGTATCGATGCTCTTAGTCATCTTCAGGGAATCTACCTCAATATGGCTGCCAATAACATCCATGTCATCCCATCTCACCTCCTCCCCACCTTGTCCCAGCAGAGCACCATTAATTTAAGTCACAATCCCCTGGACTGCACTTGTTCGAATATTCATTTTATAACATGGTACAAAGAAAACCTACAGAAATTTGAGGGCTTGGAGGACACCAAGTGTGCAAACCCCCCATCTTTAAAGGGAGTTAAGCTGTCTGATGTCAAACTGTCTTGTGGGATTACAGCCATGGGCATTTTCTTACTTGTAGTATTTTTATGCTTGATTGCCACTCTGCTCGTTTTTTCGGTTAAATTCCTTCTGAGGTGGAAATACCAGCACATTTAATGCTGAACGCTTCTAGAGATGTCAAGTCAATATGTTTATGAAAATGCCCTAAGTAAGGGAGGAGTTGTCTTTTCCTTTTCAGCCTGGCAGACTTCTCGGACTGGTTCCTGTAGCTGGGCAGGGATTCACTGTGCTTCTCTGAGTCCTAGAGCTAATGAACCTTCCTGGAACTTAAACTGACTAGGGCTAGGGGGCCCAACAACAGCTGTGAGAGACCCAGAGCCATTTCTTCACATGGAAGGTGGTTGGAGGACCTGTGGCAGGGAAAGGCCAGGAGAGGAATGCACAGGAAGCCATCGCCCTTCTGGTTGTGGACACCCCTCGAAGCAGCTCCTACCATGACTCTAAGAGGAAATCAACTCCTCCAACTAGGCAGTGCGGACAGCCCAGCCCAAACTCTGTCTCCCAAAGCTTGGACATCGTGCTTGGCTCTGAATCCTCAGTAAGGCATATTTACTTGAAAAATGTGTTGAGGATAAAGTCTCAAAGCTTATTTTAAATGGAAAAGGGGATACACAGCGAATTTAAAAGAAGAGGCCGAGAAATGAATCTGACCTAAAATTGACTTCACTGATCTCTTTAATCCTTGGGTCTCTAAGCCCTCTACAAAGCAGCTAAGGTGCAAATAGCTACCAAAAAAAAAAAAAAAAAAAAAAAAAAATCACCCCCACTAGCCCCCAACATCTAGGAGTTTTGCTCCATTGGCCACCCTCTCTTTAGAACCCCAGAAGCTCCTTCTACCTATCTGGGGCACTTGCTCTTATGTTATAAATCCTACCTTACACATGGGCTGTGGTCCAAATGCTCTTCTCATTAGAAGCTTCTTTCCCACAGGAGCTACGAAATAAATAGTGCTTCGGTTCCCAGGCCAGCTCTCAAAACTCTATTTACCTGGGACAGCAATCAACACAGCACATTTGCATTGAAAATCGGTGGAAAAAAGCATAGTTGTAGGCTAGACTTCCAGAACAATAAGCTGGCTTACTGAGCTCCCAGTGAGGGTGGGGGTGTCAGCAATGGTTATACCAGTGGAAAAGAGAGGACAAGATTATTGAATGTCAAGAGGGAGAGAGGACAGGGAAGAAGAAAGTGTTTTGACTTGAGCCTTACAAGGTACAAAGTGTCATTCTCATGTACGGCTTGATCTTCCGTAGTCTTCCTGGTAGACAAGAGCTGGAACCTGTTGCCCTTAGATGTTACATTTATATGGTCTTAAGTTCTGTAACTAATTTTAGGCTAGAGATGGTAACATAGAGTTGTGAAAATCTGATTGGTTATCAAAATAACATTGATTAACGTTCGTATCCAATGGGAATTGATTAGCCCTTCAGATGAGGGCATAAGAGTGTGTCACAGTAACAGAGTAGAAACTTGGGGAGCAAGCTCTTTTTACCTCTGTATCCCTGAGAACCACAGAAAAGACAGGAGACGCTGACGAAATGCCATAGACCTCTACTGCAAATGCTCTGTTAGCCTTAGGGTTTTTTTTGTTGTTGTTGTTGTTGTTTTTTGTGCAGTCCTGCATGGGAGGCTCAGGTTTCTCAGAAGTTCTCCTGGGTACAAAATTTAAGGGGGAAACCAAAAAATTCAGTAAGCAAGACAAAAACATTTTAATGCAGTATTTTAAAAACTTTAATGAAAGAAATACATGGTAAATAAAATATCAACATTTTAAACAACAGGATCCATAATAATAGTCCCATGCTGAACCATATTAGAGCCTGAGGCAAAAGGAAAAATCTGAGCCTGACTTTGCTTAAAATTTTGATATTTTGCTCATGGTTGATATTTTGCATCAGTTTTTTAACTTAATGTTGCATAAAATATTATCTTCATTACTGAGTTCTTGGTGCCCCCTTAAATTTAGCACCCAGGGTAGGTGTCTCACTGGCATTACCCTGTTGCCACCCTGAGGAATGTTAAGAAGTAGGGATTATCAACTAACTCCCAGGCCACAGTTCACCCAGGGTCTATGAGTGGGCATGCTATCTCAGTTTTACTCAGAAGTGTCTGTCCATTTCCCCTCACTTTCTGGAAGTAGCCCAAAGTGTCCAAGAACTTACACCTTGTTCCCCATTCTCAGGTAACTTCCAACTCTTGGGCTCACAGGCATCCTTCCTTCAAAGCCAAGAGAGGTGGCAGAGATGAATGGGTACCTTATCCCCCTGAGCTCTAGGGAACCTTGACCTGACCAGCAAGGGCAGGCTGAGTACCACTCTGCTGATGAAATGAAATATCACACAATTAGCTGGTTTAGCGGTCTCAAATATCAGTGTTTGGGAAAACAGACGCCTGAAAAGGAAGCTTTCCTGAACTTTCCTGAGGGAGCATTGGAGATGTTGTCATTTAAATGTGTGTGTGGAAAGAGAAAGTAAGGGCTGGAAATATGAGGAGATTGGGCCTCACCTGTCAGCTACCTTTCTTCCCTGGCTAAGATGGTGGGGCACCATACTTAGAAGAACAGTTTGAGCCACCATGGGTTGGTATTGATTGGCCTTGAGTCTGGCAGTGACCAAGGTCTTTTTTTCACTGAGTCGTGGGCTCAGGAGGGACCTGACACGTAAGTGGGTGTGGCTGTCTTGGCCAGAATCTGTTGGTATGCAGAGTGGGGGCTATTCTGGGCAGCTTCCTAACAGCTGCTACAGGAAAGTCTCCTCATTCTAGGGACCTAGAAGCACGGTTAGTTTAAGAGTTCAGGCAACCAACCTTCTCAAGTCAATAGAGAGCACCCCTGCGACTCCAGCAGCCTATGTGGCCCATTGTCATGCTGGAGCCATTCACCTTTGACAAGTCAAGCGGGAAGGGAGCAGGACACACAGTCAACTTGTTTCATTGATTGTGTTCATTTGCTTGTAGCAAATTAGCTGATCAGCTCTGGAAACTCTGGGAGATTTCCCTGGTAGTCACTGTGAAGATGCAAACACCATGCTCCCTGTTTCCTCCCTCCCTCCCTTCTCTCTTTCTCTTTCCTTTTTCTTTCTTTGTGGTTTCTTACCTTCTTTCCTGCTCTCCTTCCCTCACTTCGCTTCCTTCCTTCTTTGCTGGTTTCATGCTTTCCTTCCTCCCTTCATCCAAAACATAGAGTGTGGAAGTCCAGGCTCTCTGGATCCAGTCTAAGACAGAACCAAGCCACTGAGTTCCCTGTGTATTCTAGCAAATTCAGGCTCTTCAGGATTTAAGCTGCAGAGAGGAAATGCTAACTGCTGACTTACCACTCCATAGCCACACTGTCCTCCACAGTAGTTCATGTGGAAGAACAAAAACACAGTATTCTGTTTGGGATATCCGTGATGCACATGGCATCACATGAAAGACAGTGGGGTCCTAAGGCCCAGCAAAATGTAATTGCCCATCTTGCTTTCATCTAAATCAGGCACGCGCCCCTTCCGTGTCATGCAACTTGCTATTCCATAACTGCACGCTGATCTAAGGCTTTGTGACAGCTCCTCTGTTTTAAGCAACAGTAAATTCACCCTGCAAAGTCAGAAAGGGAGATTTTTGATAGCTGCTGTCAATTTTATTGCTTTATCCTGGTTACTAGGATAGAATCTGAAGACATGGTGTGTTTATTGGTTTTATGTATCGCATGTTGTTACTGCTCTGACAAGCTACTCCTATAAAAATGTGTTATTATTGCATGTTGTAGCTCAGTGAGCTGACCCTGCATTTCAAAGTGTACTGAAGCAAATAGCATTGAAGTCCATAAAAGCTGACTGGCCTCCATCACAGAGGACTCTTTGTGTGAGTTGCAACTCCCACCGTCTGGTGGCAAATTATACCTTTCCCGTGAGCCAGGGGCCATCGTTGCTAACCAAACACAGCACAGACCAAAACACAGGCAGTATCTGTAGAATTCCCAGGCAGGAAACTCTCATATCCTTCCTGCTCATCCAATTCTCCACTAAGTATCATTTGCAATTTTGAAGTTTACAAAGTATGAGATAAATGGCTTTTAAATATTTTTTGTATAAGATGCAAACGGGGCAGCTGCCATGGTTTTCTCGCTTGAATGCTGAAGAAAAAGTTAACTTGAGACATAGCAAGAAAGAATGTCATGAGTTCTAAGCAAGTCACAACTGGGGATCCTGGGTGTTTAACCAGAATCAATTGCCTAGAAAGTTATAGAATGTTTCATAGGGGGAAGGTGAGGTTAGCTTGAAGGCTTCAAAGAATGGGCCAGCCAGGTGTGGCTCCCAGATACTGGTTTATGGCCAGAATCATCTGGGGGATTACTTACCAAACAGATTCCTCTGCCTAACCCCTAGATGTTGGAATTGTGTTAGACTGGGTTTGGTTCTAGACTCTAGGCCAAATGATTTCATGCATGCAAAATATCCTTCCCTAATCTTACATTCATCAATAAAGAGCTGAGTCACATGTTAGGCTCCATGAATCAAATGAATTGAAGAACTGCTCAATGTTCCCCAAAAGGAAATTTTGTAACATAATGGGAATAAGGGACTAAGGAGCCTTCAAATCCAAGGGTGAGACATCCCAGGGCATGCAACCTATTATTCTCTTGCTACAATTGCCAGGCCACAAGACTCTGTTGCTAAACTCTGATGCTCCCCTACTACCCTCCACCCGCACTCCCATTCCATCCCTTCTACTTACAGTATGGCACCATTTATTGAATAATGCTGGTCTCGAGAAAAGAAAGAACTAATCTACAGATTATTTTAAAAAGTCATTACTGTTCATGAAAAATTAAACAGGGAATTTCACTGAACTCTCATCTCCCCAAGTTGAGATAATCTCTAAGCATGTGACTGTTCAAGACAAGGCATTAGATCCCACAAAAGTTGGCAGAGGACAGGGGCCAACAGAGTATCCATCCATCTCCTCCTTTTCCTTGTATGTTCGTTCTACAGCTTGGGTCTCCCTTTTTTGCTTTCTCTTATCTTTGGAAACAACCTAAATATTCAATAATAGATAAATGACTTAATAAATCAGATGATGTGAACAAACTGGGAGATGTTCTACATTCTTGGGTAGGATAGGAACATTGGAAACTTGTTGGTATGACTAGGAGTTAGAGAAATACAACTTAAAATGAGATAAAGGTTTATATCTATTAGTCAAGCAAAAAGAAAGAGCTGAATAATAGCATCGGTAGGGATATGGGGTTATAGGAACTATGTTCATGGCTTATGGACATAGATGGGTGAAGCCATTCAAGAACCCTGTGACAACAATTAGTCAAGTTAAATATGTGACCCACACATTCTGCGAGGGTGTATTTCCCAAGAAAATCTCACATTTCCACAATATTTAGTGCGGCATTACTTATGGAGGAGGATGTTCAAAGCAGTGTGAGTGTTCATTACCAGGAGAATGGGTAGGTACATGTGGAAGATTCCCACCATGGGTATTACACAGTCGTCAGGAACAGTGTTAGATATAGCTATGGCCATGTATTGGAACCTTAAACACACGGTATTAGAGGAGGTCATCCATAGGACATGACTACTGGTTGACCCATGAGCTGGACCTGCGCCATCAGAGGCTCCACACACCCTTCCATTTTTGGAATGGACACTCTACCCACCATTCCCACAATGAGAGCTAGTTTGAAGGAGCAGTCTGCAGGGAGCCACGTGCTGTTGATCTGGACGGTACATATACCTGAACCCTATTAAGAGGTCTGTATAAACTTTAAAG